ATGACATTGTGGATCATCTCTCAGACGCGATTTCCCGGATAAAATGGGGTCGGCCAAAAGTGGAGCATGCCAACAGGCTTTGGCGTTATCACGGTCCAGGACATTTCAGTTGGGACGAAGTGAACAATGGAACAAATGACGCTGCTGAAGATGTGTCAGCCGACAAAGCCACTGTTGAAGAAGAAACCCTACTCAGTTTTGAGAAGGGAAACAGTGAAGCTCTTGATGAAGTTACTACCACTGATGTGACTGTTATCGACGATAGAACATTTCCTGATAAAGCAGATGAACCCCATATGAAGCAGAAGCCAACGAGACGGAGACCAGTACAGAAGAAGATACGTCCCGTAAAATTAAGACTTTGTTGGATTGTAATTTTGTGTTTGTAATTCTGTACATTTAATTAAGTTATTGTTATTTGTTATTAGTTTAATGCAAGTGGCTATTGTTCGGGACGAACAATATTAAGGAAGGGCAGTGTTACGTCAGCGAGGTCACGTAACTAGTATCACGCCACGTCCTTCTCGAACCTTCGTGAATTATCGGGAGACTACTAGATTGGGGGTAGTCTGGTATATATAAGACGGTCACAACGTGACGGAACAATGTGTAATTGAACTGTGTATTGTCGAGCACGAGCACGTGAGACGTTCTTTGAGAATTATAGCGTTTGTTATAGAGCGACTGTTGAAATTAAGTGTATCGGTAAAATTGGATTCGGAAACAATAAACCAGTTTTATCTAAGAAAGGACTTGTGTCGCTAAAGTTTCGTTGGAACGAATTTACGGAAAATTAATTAACGAACGAACGGAGAGTAACAGTATAGACTGTTTTATGTGTTTGTGACTCGGTCCTCTTACAATAGTTAAGAGAGACATAAATGACTTGTTGTATCGCGACATACTGTATAATTATATATTGCCTGCTTTATTGGAAATCTATGGAGGACAGAATTCTTGTTTGCATAACAATCCATCATGCTATACTGCTAGCCGAATCCAACTGTTGTTTGAGATAAACAGCATCCAGAATCTTTCTTGGCCATCTCATGGCACCAACCTGAATCCAATTGAAATATTTTGGAAAACTTCCGTAGGGATGTACTCCAAAGTTTCACTCTAAGCTTGAAATTAACGGGCCTCTAGACCTAATAAGCTATTTTTTTTTAGTTTTTTCAATAAACTTTGACAAAGTATATAAAAGTTCATATCAAAGTGAAGAAATAATATTTAAAAAGTCTGTGTTGTAGAACAGAATTAAACCCTGTATTTCTGTTAATAGGACTGAAAAGGCTATTGACCAATGTTAACAATATCATTTAAGCTTTTTAAATA